CCTTGGCTGAACTGTCCATGTGGAACAGCTTTGTCAAAGGCTGAACTTGAGAGTGGTGAACAAGGATATCTGGTAGAATAAATATCCAAGCAGCAAAGAATTAGGCTGCTGCGTGGCTACTTCCAGCCACTACACTGAGCTGCAAAAGGGAAAAAAAAACTCGGAGATGGAATTTATCATCAAAAGAAAAGCGAGTGGAAGGATCTGGAAGCTGTTAGCCTGGCCACGTAAAGAGTGAAAGGTGTGCCCAGGAGAGGAGCCAAGGCTCTGACCATTCACCAAAAGTCCATACAGAGAGAAGGGGCTGGGTGCTGTTCTTCAAGGCAGTGGAAGAAACACCCAGAAGGCATTTCAGAGATCTTCAAGGCTGCCCTCCCGTTGCCAGCCTGGAGGCCATGGAGGGCAGAACTGTTCTGGCAGATGGGCCAGAGGTGCCCTCCACAGGCTCCCTGCCCCGGGCCTGCTGAGGACCGTGCTCCCTAAATTCCAGTGCAGCTGTCCATGGCAGCCCCAGCGGTGGCTCAGGCAGCTCCACAGCTCAAGATGTGGACATAGCATTGGCCATGGCCACGTGGCACTGATTCTGCAAGCTTGCAGAGAGCAAGATGGAGACTTGGCAGCCTCCATCCAGATTTCAAAGGATGCCATTGAAAGTCTGGGGGCCCAGGCAGAGACTCGTCCCAGGGATGGAGCCACCACAGAGGGCCCAGCAGAACAAAGCCTAGTGCAGCCACAGGAACAGGACCCCCACCAGGACCCCAGAGCTGTGGAGTCACTGGCAGCTCGGGAAGCTTCAGGCACCAGAGTCCAACCTGGAAGAGCAGCCGTGTGGGCTGCACCCAGCAAAGCCGTCGGGGAGGCCCAACCCCCAGCCCGTGTGTCCGGAGGTAGCAGGTGCTGTCGGAAGAGCCCATTCACTGAATTTAGGGTCACGTCAGCCCTGTGGGGTGGGGGCTTGCTTGGAGCCTCCACTCCTCTCTTTTTGCCTGTTCCCCTGTTTTCCAGTGGGAACGTCTCAACCGGTTCCACTGCTGTATGTCGGAAGTAGAGAACTTGTTTTGATTTCACAGGCTCATAGATAAGACTCTGACTTTTGAGTTGCTGCTGGAACAAGTTAAGACTTTGGGAGCACGGGGTTTGTAGGAATGTATTTGTACATGATAAGGACATGAGTCTTGGGGGCAGAATGCTATGGTTTGAATGTTCCCTCCAAAACTCATGAATGGGTCGATCTAATTAATGGTTTTAGATTCAGGGGTTATCCTGGGAGCGGGACTGGTGGCTTTATAAGAAAAGGAGGAGAGACCTGAGCTGGCACACTCAGCCCCTCGCCATGGGATGCCCTACACCGCCCTGGACTCTGTGGCATCCCCACCTGCGAGAAGGCCCTCACCAGACGTGGCTGAAAGCGACCGTTGCTGGCCCACACACAGCCACAGCAGAGACCCCCAGTACCGAGGTCACTCAGAGCGTGTTTTCCAACCTCGGTGACGTAAGGTGGGAAATCAGTAACAAAAATGGACCTGTGAGAAACACGGGCGCCTTGAAATTAAACAGTTACTTATGATGATCAAATTAGTCAAGGAAGAAGTCACAGTGGAATTCAGAAAACACTTTAAACTGACTTAGATTTAAACTGACTTAGTGAATGGAAATATTACAAATAAAAATTTATGCGACTTAGCTCAAACAGGTTACAGGAAAAATACAGCCTTGAATACAAGAAGAAAGCCAGAAAAAACCTTGATTTAAGCTTTGATTTCGAGAAGCTGGACAACAACAATAAATTACATCTAAGAAAAATGAAAGAGGACAAATCAATACAGCACAAGAAACAGCGAAGTCAAAACCAGCAAAGGAAATCCAAGGCACAAGTTGGTTCCAAAGAGAAGACAATGAAATGGAGAAATCCCTGCTCAAGAAAAAAAGGGAAAAGGCAAGTTTCCAATGTGAGCAAGAAAAAGACCCATCACTGAGATGATGCAGATGTTGAGAGTTCACACAGAAAGTTCTTTACAGCCTTACTCCAATACAGGCGACAATGGACCCAAACGGACCAAGTCCTCAAAAAAGCACAGCTCAGCAAAGCCGACAGAAGCGTAGAAAATCCAAATGATTCGATGTCTGTCAAATAAATCGAATCTTTTATTTAAAATGTTGCTACAAAGAAAACCCAGACCCCACTGGCTTCACCAGTAAATTCTTCCAAAAACTGAAAGAAGAAATAACCACTTTGAAAACTCATAGAAATAAAGCAAAAAACTTCCTCTTTTACTAAGAGGCTAGATGAACATTGACACTGGAAACTTAGCAGGGACACTACAAGAGAGGAAAAGCTCTCTCATCACTATTACACAAAAATCCTAACAAAATACAGCAAATAAAAAACTCATCACTATTACACAAAAATCCTAACAGAATACAGCAAATAAAATTCAGCAGTTACAAAGGGTGCACGTTGGTGCCAAGTGGTTGTGTCCCATGGGGTTCAGTATCATTGGGCACGTTAACAGAATGAAAAGGAGACAAATCGTAAGATCGCCTTGACAGGTGCAAAAAAGGTATCTTTCATAATCCAACATCCACTCATGATTTTTAAAATTGAGATAGAAGCAAATGTCCCTAATCCAATGAAGAATCTCTCTACAGCCCTAGTATGCATCGTATTTATGGTACAACGTTGAAAAGTTTTCCGCAAGAGTGGAAATGTGCGCCCGATCGGCGCTTGTATTGAATATAGTACAAAATGACTAGAAAAAGAAAGAAAATGCAGAAAGACTGAAAAGAAAATACAGAACCAAGAGACTGAAGAACTCGGGTGCTCTTCCTGAGTGCGGGCCGAGAAGCTCCACGCTGTGAAGCCACCAGTTCTCTGTGGCCGAGGGTTCACGGAGCCTCTTTCTCCCCTGGTGAGGTCTTAGCCTGGTTCCCCTGAGCTATTAGCAACATAGTTTTCCACAGAGATGGCCTGGCAGGTGGCCCAGGGCTGTGTCCCTTGTGGGGACCTGGGGCTGCGCCACTCGCCTGTGGCTACGGGAGACACAGGGTAGGAGCTGTACAGGGGAAAAATGACAAATCAGACCGCGGGCTAAAATTCAGAAGTTCTGTTCATCAAAAATGCCCTGCCGAGAGTCGAGGGGCAGCCACAGAGAATGAGAAGACCTTGACACTAGGTTGCCCGACACACGTGCGTCCCGCGTGGGGGAGGGTGTGGGTCCCTTTTAAATAAGAAAAGGAGACATTGATAGAAGATGGCATGAGGTTGGAATCTCACAAAAGTAGGATTCGTGTGGCCAATAAACGATTTTAATGGTGCTCAAGTTCATTAGTCAGGGAAATGCAAAATTGAAGCCGGACGCAGATAACCAGACACCAACCAGATGGGCTCCCGTGGAAAAGGAGGACATGGCCGTGGAGATGAGACAGGGAAGGGGGCAGCTGAGGCTCCCTGGGCCTCATGCCCGCCCCTGGGCGCAGCAGCCCCTGGGCAGAGTTCTGGCGGAATCGCTGTAGCTGACGCTGCGCGTCCACACCTGACTCCGCGCCCGGTAGAAATGCTTCGCTGGGGTCCCCAGAGAGCAGCATCGCTCATGACCCCCAACGACAGGAAGCCACCCAGATGCCCTCGGCCACAGAAGGGATGAAGAAGCTGTGGCGTTCCCAGCTGCGGTGTCTGCGGCGAGGAGGGTCAGCCCCACGCTCCACCTGGGTGAAGCCCACAGCGCAAGCCAGAGGCCCGGCAGAAAAGCCCGCCTGAGCTGCTAGAATCTGCTGTGGTCCCCTTGTGGGGAGGAGGGCCACTGGCCAGCAATGTCCTGTCTCTTTGCCTGGCCACACGGTGTGCCCACTGCAAAAGTCCATCAAGCTTTTCACGCATGGGCTTTTACACCACTTTCTGTATATTCTACTTTGATAATAAGTTTTGTAAACACTGCTTTTGTTTGTGCAAACTTGAAGCTATGACTCAGAACCACAAGCCTCACAGCTCGACAGAGGGAGGGCTGCCCTTGCGGAGAGGCCCGGGCCTCCAGGAGCCCTCTGGCTGGCCCTCAGGGGCTGTGGTGGCCGCCCACTGCTGGTGGTGAGGAGCCTGAACCGCGTGCCCGGTCTGGTATTAGACAGACTCATAGTCCACAGGAGGGGATGGGCTAGAGACGCCGCCTGCACCGCCTGACCACAGCTGACTGGCATCCCTGGGCCAGGAAGAGAGGGCCTTCCCCGGGGGAGTGTGGGGGCACGGCTCTGAGTCTGCGCTGTGTACGCGTGTGTGTCCGTGTGTGTCCGTGCCTGTATGCGTGAGTGTGTGCGTCTGTGTACATGTGCGTGTCTGTGTCCATGCATGTCTGTGTGTGTGCTTCTGTGCATGGGTGCGTGTCTGTGTCCGTGCATGTCTGTGTGTCTAGGTCCGTGTACACTTGCGTCTGTGTGTGTCTGTGCATGTCTGTGTGTGTGTGTCTGTGCACGGGTGTGTGTGTCCATGCCTGTCTGCGTGAGTGTGCGTCTGTGCACACGTGTGTCTGCATGCATCCATGTGTCTGTACATGTATGTCTCCATGTGTGGTGCGGAGGACACAGGAGGAAAGATGGAGGGAAAGGCACCACTCACGGAGGAGGCGCTGGAGAATTTTCCATTTGTTATTTTGGGTTTGGCGAACATGCACTTCGCGTCATGCAAATGAGGTTTCTAAACATTAACAACCGGAGAGAAATGACATTTTGGGGCCGCCAGTGACTCGTGCGTGCCTCTGCTGCCCCCTGGTGCCATCCCCGAGTCACTCCCAGCAGGGCCCCCCGAACCCCGAAGGCCCCAGCCCGGGGCAGGAAAGGCACAAAGCCCCACTCTGGCCCTGCCGCGAGGTCTCCTGGAAACGAGGGAACAGCACAGCGACGTCCCTTCGTCCTAAATGCGTCCCCTGAGAGCCGTTTTTCACCACTCAGGCTTGGCAAAATCTCTGCGTCACTGAACAGCACTTTAACCTCTTGAATGAGATGCCTCCTACCTTTCGGGTCCTCTTTCTGCACCTCTCACGGGACAGGTAAAGACGCTCGTTCCTGTTGAGGTCGTCCCCAGCCCACTGAGAGGCCTCAGGGAGGCAGAGACCCAGCCGTGGGCTGCCCACACCTCAGCCCCACCCCAGGGAGGCCTGGGACTCCAGCCGGTCCTGAGAAGGTGCCGGACGGACACCAGCTACCAATGACACAGGGCGGGGGCGGTCCAGGGGCGCGGCACACCCCCTCCTGCGACCTGTCTCCCGTACAGGGCCTTTGTGTCTGGTCTGGGCGTCCTGACCTGAAGGTCACTGTGACAGCGGAGTGGAGAGGATGGCTGCCCTCTCCTGCTCCCACTGGCCTGCAGCCAGCCGGCGGTGCCTCTGGCAGTGACCACAGAAGTCACTGGCTGTGGCCAGTTGCCCGGTGCATGACCCAGCCTGTTCTCAGTCCAGGTCCTGACTGGCCATGCACACCCAGCTGTGCCCCTGGAGGCACAGACGGGGAGGGCCCTGCTGGGGGTGCGTGGTCTGCAGAGTGGGCCTCACTGGGCTCCTCTGAGGTCACTGGAGCTGGGCTGTGAGGTGTGTCTCCATCGTGGCTTGCCTGCGACCCTGGCCCGCATCCTGCCAGCAGGTCCTGTCTATACGGTGCTGCCTATGAGAAACCCAAGTTCATTACTGCAGCCAAAGGAAAGGTGCAGCCGGTGGGAGGTGAGCAGGGCTGCTTGGCGGGGAGGGGGGAGGAGGAGTGGGAGGGTGCGGGGAGCAGGGGCGAGAGTGGGGAGGGGAACGGGGGCAGGAGGGGGGAGCAAAAGAGGGGGGAGGGGAGCAGGGGGAGGGGAGGGGGAGGGAGGTGGGAGCAGGGGTGGGAGCAGGGGTGAGAGGTGGCGCGGAGCAGGGATGGGAGAGGGGGGAGGGGAGTGGGGCAGGAGGGGAGCATGGGGGAGGGGAACGGTGAGGGAGGGGAGGTGGGCAGGAGGGAAGCGGAGGGGGGAGGGAAGCAGAGGAGGGAGGGGAGCGGAGGGGAGAGGGGAGCGGAGGGGGGAGGGGAGCGGAGGGGGGAGGGGAGCGGAGGGGGGAGGGGAGCGGAGGGGGGAGGGGAGCGTGGGGGCGGGATGGGAGCAGGGGCGGGAGCAGGGGCGGGAACAGGGGCGGTAGGAGCGCTGATGCTCACTGTGCCGCAGAGCTCCCTGCACAAGGGCCCTTCCCTTTCAGAAACTGAAGGCCCAGCAGGGAGCCCCTGGGGTCCCGGAAGCGTGGCCTCTCCCCGCCCTCCACCCACAGGGATGGAGGGGTCTGTAGAGCCTGTGACATTCTGGAAACAGATGTAGATGGGGCGTGTGCTTCCCCGGGGCCCAGGAGGCCCATCCGCTGGCTGCACAATGATGCGGCAGCCGCTCCACAGCGTGCGGACAGGGGACCCCACACGGCGGGAGGGACTTCCACCCATGCAGCCTTTCCTGCGAGACAGCAGCCCTTTTCCCATTGCCCACCACGCACGGTCCAGCTGCCGTCCGCAGGCCTGGGCAGCAACAGAGGGTGTGTCCACGTTCCCGCAGGCTTCTGCAAGGTGATGCGTCTGGCCGTGAGTCCCACCGCCTTCTCCCACCTGCTGGCCTGTGCCCAGCAGTTCCGGAAGCAGACCCAGGCCCAGGTGTACAGCGAGGACATGGCCCTGAACGCAGGCTCGGTGAGGCCCTCCAGACTCCAAGCCACCCTGCCAGGACCCTCTGCCCCCATCCCTGAGAGCCAGGACCCCAGCGAGGTCGGGGGAGGGGCGGGGCACTAGGCCAGGCTGCTGAAGGGCTTGGGCCATCCCGACACCCAGGCACTGCCCAACTCCCAGGCCAAGTTCCATGTCGGGGGAGAACTCACTCCTTGGACTCCTTGGCCCTGCCTGATCCCTGAAGTGCAGACAAAGAGGAGGGACCCTCTGTGGTGCGGGCAGAGGAGATGGGTGGGGGCTGGGGTCTCAGGGTGACCCTCCAGAGGACGGGCCAGGTGCTGTGGGGCCCTCATCACCGAGCCGGGCGCCCTTGTCCACCACGCTGTTCGCAGAAGGGGCAGGAGCTCGGCCTTTCCGCAGGGGCCTGGCCCTCGTGGGGTCTGGGCCATGCACCCTCTTTGCTATGGGGGCCTCTTGTTTGGGTTGAGTAGGAGCCAGAAGGCCTCCAGGTGGAAGAGAAGGAGTGGCCTGTGCAGAGGCTCAGCAGCATCCTGGGGCCCCTGGAGGAGCTTCTGCAGCCGCTCTTCCCCCTGCTCAGCCTCTCCGAGGCCAGGTACCAGGGATGACGTTGCCGCCGGCTCCCCACCACGCTCATGCATGGACACGTGTGTCCAGTGCCGTGGCCAACCACGTGTGCTTGCTGTGCCTTCTCGGCCACCTTTGTTCCAGGCTCCGCGCCGCCCGCCTGCTCCCAGGAAGCAGTTCTTCCTGGATCTGCCTCCATTCCTGCCTGGAGGAGAACTGCCCACTGCCCACTCCCCACGGCCCCTCCAGCCCCCGGCCCAAGCGTGGGGTGGGACGGCAAGCACCTCCGAGGGACCGCCCGGGCTCCTTTGATTTGGGGTGGGAAGGAAGGCAGAGGGGACAGACACCTGGCACCGTTTAGCTCGGCTGGTGGATCAGAGATGATCCCGAAATCCTGTGGCTCATCCCAGCCCCACCTCAGTGGGACCATCCCAGAAGTGAGCGTGGGGATTCGTGGCGCTGCTGCCTTAGAGTGAAACAGGCTGAGGAGGGGTCGCCTATATTCCAAGTGTTTGTTATCTGTCTGTTTTCGAATATATCACCTGACTTTCAGAGTGCAGATGCCCGTGGTCGTTGCTGATTCAGGGAAGTCGAAGGGCAAAGACAAGGAGAGGAAAATGTCCACAGGACAACACAGTGAGTGGGGCGGGCGCGGCCACTCAGCGCGGGGAGCTGGTCCCGCCAGGAGAGGTGGGGTCGGGATCCACCCACCCATCCAGGAACGCCAAGGGGGGTCAGGAGCCCAGGAGCCCCACAAGCCCTGCAGCCCCTCCCTCTGAGGCCTCCCTGCGCATGGGGTCCCTGGAAGGTTCTGTGCACAGCCACGGACTGGGTCGGAGGGTCCGTGCCTCTCCGGATAGGAGGCTCCGGGTAGGAGGCTCTGTGCCAAGCCCCCTGAGAGCACCACGGAACCCAGCACAGCTCCCTTGCGTGGTGGATCGGCAGCCCCGCCACACCACGCGTACTTGCTAACAAAACGAATCGTGTGGAGGGACAGGCGTGATGGGAGGCGGTTCCTCACCCCGTTCTGGGGCATCTGGAGGAGAAGGTGGCGTGGAGTCAAGGCGGGCTGCCAGCCTTTCCCAGCGCCCAGCAGCCAAGTCAGGAGACGGAGCCTTGCGGCCCCGTGGGAGGGGTCCCGTCTTCAGGAGCTGATCTCCCTGCACGGCTGTTTCCCAGACACAGTCCAGCCCGAGATTGTGGATAAGATCATCCTGGTCGCAGACAGACATCTCCTGGAGCTGCCACTGGAAGGCCTCTCTGTGTTTGATGAAGGGACAATTTCCTCTGTGTCACGAGAATTTTCTCTTCAAATGTTGTGGAATCGCCTCCATAAAGAAGAGCCAGGTAGGGACTGCCCTTAGCCACCTTATGTCTAATTTTAAAATGGAGATATTTATTTTTCAGATGAAACAATGTTAGCTCCTATCAAAAAATAATCATCAAATGTTGCAACATTTTTCTAGGCATTTATTCACTCAAAGATATTTATAGGATATAAACACTCACCAATCTGGGCAACATGGCGAGAGTGCATCTCTACAAGAAATTTTAAAATTAGCCGGGCATGGTGGCGTGCACCTGTGGTCCCAGCCACTCAGGAGGCTGGGAGCTGAGATGGCACCACTGCACTGCAGCCTGGGCAACAGAGTGAGACCCTGTCAAAAATAAAATATGTATGTATATATATAAACACTCAAAACTACTTATAAAATATCTGCTATGTGCCAGTATCCTGGTGCCAACACACAGGGAAGACGAACTTAATGCCATTCTTGCCCCCACAAACATCTGTTCAAAGGAAGAGACCAGATGTGTAGTGAACAGCCAGCCTCTCCGTTAATCACTCAGACTGTGGAGAGCAATGAGAGAGAGCGCGGAAGCCCTGGCCTCGGCTGGGATTCGGGGGTGACCGCATTCTGTGACTGAGTGCTGGCTGTGCAGACGTGCCCGGTTTGTGAAACTTCCCCAAGCCCTACACTTGTGGTATGTGCAGTTTTCTGCATGTATGTGGCACTTCAATATCAAAATTAAAAATAAATAGATTGGACTTTTGCTTCCATCTCAGATGAAGTAACAAGGACCAGATTTGTCCTTCCAGCTGAGACAACTGTAAACCAGAGAAAAACACATGAAATGAGGGTTTCAAACACTGACCGGCCCGTCGCGCAGGACAGGGATCCTTGAAAGAGGGGTTGGCTGGTGAGTGCCACGGCGGCCCCCCCGCCCCCCGGCTCTTACTCCCTGGGGAGTTTCCAGGTCACAACATTGTTGGGGGGGGGGGCGGGAAGAGCCCAGGGGTCTCCCCAAGTTGAGGACAGGCAGTTTGGAGTCTGGGGAAACTGACAGCTGCAACGTGCAGGGCGGGACGCCCGGAAGGAGAGAGCTGCAAGGAACGGCCACTCCAAGATCTGCAGAGCCCTCGGCAGGAAGACGGCCGCCGCCTGTGTGCGAGGCCAGGGAAAGAGGCAGCTCTGAAAACGGTGAAAAGACGGATAAACACTTAACACTCCTTTATTTTCAAAATCTCTTTAAAATGTTTTTGAGCAAAAAGTTTAGAGCAAAGGAAAATAATAATGGTATGGGGTTTTAGAACATAAATGTGAAATGAATAACAGCACCAAAGATGAGAGGGAGGGAATGGAAGCAAAGTATGTAAAGGCTCCATCCTCTAGAGAAAGTGGTATAACATTACTTGAAGATAGACTGTGATAAAGTTATAAACTATACATCCTCAAGTAATCAATAAAAACAAAACAAGAAAAACAACCCCCCCAAGTTTACAGCAAATACGTAATGAAGAAGATGAAATGGAATCATAAGCAGCCCCTTAATCCAAAAAACACAGAAAGAAAGGGAAGAGAGAACAGATAGGAAAAATAAAAAAGAAATAGCAAGATAGTATATTTCAACCCAACGATATCCATAATCACATTAAGTGTCTAAACACCCCCAACTAAAAGAAAAAGATCATCTGATTAAATGAAAATTCAGCATTCATAATACGCTTCCTCCAAGAAACCCACTTTAAATGAAAAGAAAATGGTGAGTTAAAAAGAAAGGATGGAAAAACCATATCTCTTAGTATCCAAAGAAGGTTGGCATGGTGAGATTAAATCAGAAAAAGGTGGAGTTCATCCTGGGAGTGTGACCAGAGCTACAGCGGGCCGTTCCGTAAAGAGGAGGAGGCTAATTCATGAAGAGGGTGTGAAACCTAAATGTCTGTACATTGATTAACATCGCGGCAAAATACACGAGACAAAACCCACAGAGCCACAGAACAGTCAAGACGCACCCAGGGATGGCTGGGGAGGTCAACATCCCTTTCTCAACAGTGATGGAGCAAATATGCATCAAATCAGTAGGGTGTGGAGGATTAAACATGCCAGGCAGCCTCATCTCACGGACGTTTATGTGACATTCCCCCCACGGCAGAAGAATGTACACTTTTTTCACACACACACACGGAACATTTGACGAGATATACCCTAAGTTGAGCATAAAACAAGCCACAAAAATAT